CAGGAAAGCAGATAAAACCAAACAAATTGAACGGAAGATAAACAGATTTTCTGTATGTTAGAAAATTAGAATGCTTGAGCTGATGCTAAAGAAACAGCAGAGCTTGGGGCTAGAAATCAATAACCTTTTCAGCGTTCTCTTTCTCACCCTTGAGATTATCCTCTTTACTCTCCAGCACAGACACTTCTTGCACAAGAGATTTAGATAGTGAATCTACTTCATCAGACAAAGTTTTAACTTCCCCTCCCATAGTAGCTTCCTTTTGAGCAGTCAACTTTGATATATTTGTCTCCATATCCTGAATTTCCACCTTTGTTCTTTCAGCATCATCGTCAATTTCAGTTATCTTGGCCTTTTTTCTTTCCAGTTCACCCACTGCGCTATCTCTAATCCTCTCTGCTTGGACATACTCATAAGCCACACAAAACCTTTTCAGTCGGTCCAGCTCCGCATTTCCATTAGCCCATTGCATATACTGCAACCGTTCTTTTCTTAACTTCTCCAAAGCAGGCAGTATTTCCTGATCAAGAAGCTTATTTATTTCATCCACCTTACTCTGTTTCTTCTCTAGTGTTTTCAACGCGAATTCTTTCTTTGTTTCATACATTCTTGTCCCTGCAGCCTCTTCAAGCATAGATAAAATCTCGGGAGGTTTCATATTTAAAACCTTGGTGATCCGACCTTGCATTATGAGAAAATGTGGATTATTAACATTAAGCTGAACCGAATGGAAGAGGTTCTGTACTTGACTAGGCTGCGCGAGTTTCCCATTAATCAAATATTTGTTCCTTCCACCAACTACAATCTGCAGACGTTTCAAATACATTTTCAAAATTAGAAAGATAACGTTGTGGAATCATGTAAAATAAAACTAAAATGAAGCAGAACTTTGCAAGAATAATTCAAACTGAAAGAAAATTATATGCCACATACTTGTCGAGTTACAGTAATCTCTGAGTGATCAGCATAACCAAGTGGACTTCGAGATCTATCCGAGTTATCAAAGATAATGGAGACGGTAGCCTTTGTAATTCCAGCTTGACCTTGTTTGTAAACAAGCTCTTGAAGATTGGCGGCGCGAACTTGCTGCAGATTGGTGATACCTAAGACAAAGCAAATGGAGTCCAAAATGTTGGATTTACCCGAACCGTTTAAACCCGTGATGGCATTGAAGAAGGGATCGAAACCAGGGACGACAGTCCTCGTGGCGTAAGATTTGAACCCTTCCAAACATATTTCCTTGATGTGCATCGCGCCTCAATTGCAGAAGTCGACGAATGAGAATCCTATAATTTAAATAAATGGACCTTAGGGGTGGGGGAGAACCCTGGAAAATCGCTGAAGAAAATAACTACGTATATGAATTGAATGAGCCAGATTTACCTTGGATGCAAATCGGAGTTGTTGAGTGGCAGATTTGGAGGTTGAAGAAGGTTTCGCCTTTCCTGAGTTAGGAATGAAATGTGAAAATTGTGGAGGCTTTGGCTTTTAGGTCTTTTCAATTTCTCAAAACCCAAGAAAGAGCGGGAAATAGAAGCGTCAATTGTTTTCAAAATAAATATCGCTGAATTCATTGGCCCACTTATCACAACGTTGACGGCCCAACCAGAAGGCCTAAACGATCATTCGCGAAACACAACCTTTATGTCATTCATTGAGGGCTTAAATGCACTTTCCCTTCCAAACTATGCATTTTATATTTGTAAAATATTTCTCATTTATCTCAACCTGTTAATTTTATTAGGAAAAACAAGGATAAAACATATATTTATTCAATCAATTATTCACATGGTTTTATTTTGATTCCTCAATTATTTATTCGAATCATTTTAAAACTTAATTTTTTATTTTTTTTTGATCACTCATTTCGATTTGATTTATTTTTAGAATTTGTAGTATAGACTTTATGTGGTATATATATAGATACATTATTATTAGATGCACTAAGTGAAAAAATAATTTCACATTTTTTTTGAAACACAAACTTTAGGTCTATTTGGTTTCAGAAAATATATGTTATTTTTATTTTTTTCATAGAAAATAGAAAACGTCGAAGAAAATGTGTTTGGTTGTAAAATTGGGAAATGATTTCTGGAAAATGAAAACAAAAATAAGTGAAAATATGAAAACATAAAAAATTGTTTTCAAATTTTCATTAAAATTGTTTTAGAAATTCAAAAAACAAGAAAACATTATATCTATATTTTAACTTAACTTAGGGGTTGTTTGTTTGGCTCTGAATGGAACCATTCAACGTTCAGCATTCAACGTTCAGCATTTAGCGCGTTTGTTTTGCACCTCTTAATGATTCAGTGCTGACTGATTCAGCAAAACAGTGATGAATGATTCAGCATCAAAGTACATTCTGAATGATTCAGAGCCATTATCAAACAGCATGTCACATTCAGAGCTAATTCATACAGAACCTCTGAATCATTCAGCATTTGAATCATTCAACGTTTAATCATTCTGAAGTAAACAAACATCCCCTTACACATGTTTAAATCATTCTAACAATAATTTTTTTGATTTAACAGTATCTGAAACCCTCAAACTTTTGTAAAAAAAAAGCCAAAATGTTTGTTAAACTTTTTTTACACTCAATGTAATCCTTAAATTATTTTTTAATAATTTAATTTTATAGCACTTTTTATTTTTATTTATTGAATATCTTAATAATTGTTTATATTTTATAATTTAATTTAAATACATTTTTAATTTTTTAAATTAATAAGTCTTCAAATTTTCTAAAATAATCAATTAAGTCAATCTGCCACATCATCACACATCAAGTACTGTCCAAACAATATCGAGAACTGTCACATCAATATTGTAGATTGTCATATAAGTTTTTGAATTGTCATGTAAGTGTCATGACAATCAACATTTGATTCCGTTGTTAAAAGGGTTAGATTAAATTTTTTTTCTAAGTTTAACGATTACATTTGGTGCAAAAAAAATGTTCAAGGACTACACTAATTATTTTTCTCAAAAGTTTGAGAGTCTCATTTACCACTAAACATATTTTTTACATTAATGACACTTTTGTGTAGTATTACTTATAACAGTATTTTATGTATTTTTAAAATTTAATTAATGTCTAATATGCATTAACATTATATTCTTATTACAAACAAAAATAAATTGTGTTATGAAATTTCTTATCAACTTTATTGTTTTATATTTGTATAACTCATATGTTAAATTTTTGTAATGATTTTTAATAATTATAATATAATTTAATTATTTAATAACTATTATTTTTATTTCTATTTTAAAAAATTAGATACCATATATATTTTTTAGTATTTTAGTTTTGAATTGAAGTTTTCATTTATATTAACCAAACAAGTTTTCTGATTTTCAAAAAATTGAAAATGAAAACTATTTTTCTAAAAACAAAAACATAAAATAAAAATAGAAAATATTTTTTAAAACCAAATGAACCCTTAAATTTATATCACGAATAAATACTTAAAATATATCACTTTTTTTAAGTATCTAAAGTATTTTTTGATCAAATAGGTACCTAAAATTAAAATATGTAAATATTTAAATTTAAAAATATTTTTTTATTAAACTAAGGTGATTACAAAACAATATTTGTTCTAAATACTCTCAATCATTTAACAATAAACGCTCAATCACCCTATTGCAATCGCTGATGTTCGAACCCTTGACCTCTAAGAACAACAACGATTCCTTTAAATTTATTTGTGCCAATTAAAAAACACATAAGTCAATAAAAAGTGACAAATGACAAGTTAAATAATTATTTAAATAGAAAAAATAAAGAAAAAATTAAATATAAAAATAACTTACCCTCGATTAAAACAATAAAATATCTAAGAATCTCCCATTTACATCACTTTCTTCTTAGAAGTTTTCCCTCCCTTCTTCAATTTAGGATTTTTAAACCTTAATTCTCTTGAATTTATGAAATTAAAAAGTTAATTCTTAAATGCTCTTTTTAAACCTTAACTTCTTAAATTGATTTGGCTGTTTAAATTTGAAAAAGAAAGTAACAAAATGTTCTCAATTAATTTGGGATAAGTATAAACCAGTATATGTTCAAAGATATCTCTCAATTCATAATTTGCAGGTCTTCCACGGAAGCTGCTCTCAACCTGGCGTTGAGGGCAGCCTACTATCCTACCTCCCCCTTACCCCATTACATATGGGAATAAGAGTCAGCTAATTTTATAAACCAGTATATGTTCAAAGATATCTCTCAACCTTTTGACATTGAATGCTCACACCTTTGACATCTACGATACTCGAACTCAGATCCTCAAGGAAAACAATAACTTCTTTACCATGGAGGCATCTTGATTCATGCTATTATAGAATCTTATATATGACACGTATATGTAACTAGTGTGAAAAATAGGGAACTTTTCACATCCATGTCAACTAAGCATCTGCCTGCTTTGAATATGGAAAATAATGAAATTTTACAATTTTTTAATCTATTAGTTATTATGTAATGAAATGTATTATTTTTTGAGAAATAACGTTGGATACATATAGATATGAAAATATTCTTTATTTTCGTTTGTTTGTGGCATTCAATTTGTAGGAAAATGACTTCAGAAATTGATTCTCAAAACAGTTTTCCTGATAATAATAGACCTAATGAATTTGGTGAGAGTAACGGTAGACCTGGTGGTGAGTTTGGTGTTACTTTTTATAATGAGATAGATAAAGATAATTATGATATTGATGTAGATGACAATGATTTAGAGTGGTTAAAATATGAAAATTTGATATTTGATGAATGTAAATCAAAAGAAAAGAAAGGGTATACATGCCGATTTACAATGAGCTTTAAAATATATTAAAAAATTAAAAAGCAATGAAAAGACACTAGACGATATTTTACGAGTGCATGTGATTTATTTTCTCCTAATGTGTGTATGTTTATATAGCTAATCAAAAACCTCGCCAATATGCCTTTTTTTTTTTACTTTTGTGAAGACTATTTGATCAGAAGGGTCAATAAGCAGCATGCAAAGTGTATGGAAGAACTTTTGTGAAGATTAGCCAATTCTACAGAGAAACAAGACATGAATCTGAAAATAAAACCCCTCTTAAATAAAAACCGTTCACCGATATGCCTTTTTTCTTGTACGAAGAATGTCGGAGCTTAGAGAGGTTGCATCTCCAAGTTAGTGCTTGTCCCGGAGGGTGGCGATGAATCACTGTTTTCATTGGAAGAGCTCATCTCTTGAACAGGGGGAGGATTGACAACAGTCATCGGCATGACAAAGTTATCTGATAGCCTTCCCTTCATCTCTCTATGCTCCTGGCATAAAGCACACCAATGCATGCAGCGGTGCACCCTGCACGGATCACGGGGTGAATTCTGCAGTTCAAATGCAGGTCAGAAAATGTACATAGCTTAAGCTCTTAAACAGTGTTTTTGGGTAATATTCCAAACGGATACTAGCATAGAAATAAATAGGCACATTGGTAAACAACCTTAATTTTAGACATGAATTTCAAAGTAATTTGATTTTCAAATATGAACCAACATCATCAAGATGAGTATTGCTCCATCCCAGAAGACACAACAAGCTAAGCTGCATGGGTAATCGTGGTAAGAGACAAAGGGTAATTCCTAATCAATACTAAATTAAAATTGAACTTTATGAAAAAACTTCTTTTACAAATTTACTTCCATGGATATAAACTAATTCGTCTGTCATAAATATTATGTTTGGTTGGCCCAACTAATACTTTATTTTGTGATAAAACACATGCTTATTTGATAAAATATTATACCACTTTGCAACTACTTGAGCTTGATACCATATACTTTGAGGGCTGTGTTTGTGTTGCATTAATAATAAGTGCATACGGGCAAAGTGGTTATATACAACCTTGAGATGATACTTTTTCTGTAAGGATTGCCGTGCAAGACCGGTATATATTCCACACATCCACCAAGCAAACAACAAACCCTCGCAAATGAGAAATGATGTCTTTGGGTCAATACCATGGAAGACCGCTGTTGCAGCTGCCAATGCCATGCAACCTTCAACACAAATAGCATGACAAATGCATGGTGTAGTCCAAGGCGTATTATCTCTCAAGCTCTCAATATTACGCCCAAATAGAACACAGACAAAATAGTCCAGTCCAGCCTGCAGAGTAAGTCAATATGCTGATTTTGAATCAAAAGCTTTAGTGGAAGATAATAAATAGCACGGATGTATTCTATAATAAACCATTTTATTACAGCAGATTCCATACAAAGGTTTTCCCTTGCTGTCACTTATACGCATGTATAACACATGTTTAGAATAAGATGGAATTAACAAAGAACAAGGGCAAAGTAACAGATTGACAAATTAAAGACATCTCAACTTACAACTTTCTGTATCTTCAGCACAGCCAAAAATTCCAGTAGTCCAAGGTTCAACAGCGGGTGGCTAAAAGTTTTCAGGTAAAGCCTGTCCACATTCGTTGCACTTTCGGACACACAACTAAGAAACAATCAACAGGTCAGTGAATATCCCAATGTGCATCTCCCAACTAAGATTTTTCTTCTTTTTTTCAGCACAGAATCTTAAGGTAGATCATACTTTATTATACAAATTATGGCCTATTTATATTTGTTATTTTTGCTTAAACCCTTCCGAGCTCTTAATTTTCTAGAGGAACAAGATCTAATGGCTAATTACTCAATTTAGGACCAAGCCTATCACCAATTGAAAGAATCAGCATCTTACCTTTTGTTTCAGTTTAGTAAGGGATAAATCTTTGCAATTTGTAACTAGAAACATTTAGTAAATGCGTAGTGGCCTGTTTGGACGGAAAGATTCGGAGATAGAAAAAAATTGAAAATTTTAAGCCAAAAAATGCCATTTTATTTTTTAAAAAAAAAACATGTTTATTTTACTAATGGTCGCCAACATCTAATTGGTGCGTGAAGCTCATAACTCAGTTACAAAAAAAAGGGGAAAATACTCATCACAGATACCAAAAGCTAATACTCATTAAAAGAATTGTTTGATCCTAATTCACTAAAATTGTGTAAGATTTGGTCCTAATTTGAGCCATTAGCCAGATCTAAGTGCAAAAGATCTACAAAAAAAAATGATGCTTGCAGGAAGCAGCAAGAAAAGAGTTACAACATTTGACAAGGTTCTTTCTTTAATATCCTCCGAACAGATCTAAATGGCCTCCAAAAAAAAGGATTCCAACAGCCGGTAAATCGAGCGCAAAATTCGCGGATTTCAAGCAATAGCATGCTCCAAATTTCAGACTGGATTCGATCCTATAATTACAAACCTAAATGAAACATCTATCCCGCTATCCTCACATATTATCATTCTTATTTCAAGCGGGCATTCAAGAAACACTTAAAAGAAAATTGGGAGAGAGAGAAAGACATGAGGAACATCAATTGGCTGATTAAGTTCACCAGGTTGGATATCCTGCAAAGGATCCTGATCTTTGGTCAGTTTAACGTATCTGGATTGCGCATCCGCCATCTGATCCAAAAGTAACAAGTCAAAAACATAAAAAAGAACATGAGAAGAAAGATGAGGCGTACACATATGAGTCTTACAAACCTCCGAAATGCAGGAGATCTAGGGGTAGATGGGGAATATTACAATATCCAAAGAGAGTTACAAGAGATGAGGTTTAAGGGTCAACTACAACTCCTACTCCCTCTTTCTCTCCTCCAATTTTACGGTGTCTACGGTTTCGTCGATAGTCTAATATGACCGACCTTACCTTCGCCCGTAGACTTCGTCTAGAACCGGGTTCGAACCAACACGTTTTTATTGACGTTTTGGCTCAAAACGACAGCTTCCACGTGGATTTAATGGGATACAATTTATAATTAGTCTTAAATCCGTGCATGCAATACGTGGATTTTATTTTAAAAAATTGTGATGTGAATTAAATTTATTTAAAGATAGTATAAATTAATAATGTTTTTATTTTATTTATAGTTACAATTCATTTTTTCACGACAGTTATTATTTTATTTGAAATTGTCAAGGACCTAAATAATATTTACATAAATTTTTAATCAGTTTTTAGATATTTAAATCATAAAAATTAAACTTAAAAATAAAATTACTTATCTAATTTTATTTAAAATCTACCCAACAAGATTAAATTAATTTTTATTTTAAAAATTATATGTTTTTGAATTGATTCGAATTTTATCCATAGAATCCACTTACACTATAATTGTTATTCTATTTATCCTTGTCATTTGCAACCCTTCTCCAACTACCCAAAACCCTATTTAAAAACACATAAATAAAACTAATATTTATATGATTTCAATGAGGTTTTAGATCATATGTGATGCCGGAAATATATGAATGATACCTAAAATACCAGTATCCATGTGATACTAAAAATATATTGAATGATATTATTACTCATTTTAGATTGATTAAAAGAAAATAAACCAACATTTTTGTTAAGATTATTGTAGTTAAGCATATTTGATATCAAAATAGAACTATGTCCTTTTACCCCAATACTCTTATTCTAAGATTAAAGACGATGTGGATAAGAATTTCTTGATAGCCATGGTTAAAAGGAAAGATATTCAGAAAAGTATCAAGGATGATCGAAATTAATTTGTAGGTAAGAAATTTGGTGAGATTGTTAAAGCATTAAAAAAATCTCTGAGAATAAGACACCACACCTTTATGAAAAAGTGATATCGACGAAAAATGAGAGGTTTGATGACGAATTTATTTGCAATGTGTTTGATTTTCTTGCAAAGAATTAGTTCGAGGCCAAAGTTTTCTTAGTTAAAAAAACAAAGCATAGAAAAATTTGGCTTCAAAAGTTTACCGTAGGTTAAAGCTATGTGATTCTACTGTGATGTTTAATAATTATTATGCACTTAGATAATGTTATTGTATTAAATGTACTCTTTATAGTATTATTGGCTAAATGTGTTGTAATACTAATTATGTTGGATAATATTATTTTATTATTATATTGTACTAATAATTATGTACTTGGATAATATTTTTGTTTGAAATTGGTGTAGTACTAATTATGCACATGGACATTATTATTGTATTAATGTAGTGTAGTATTTTATACCATTGAAATGAAATTATTTAATGTTATATAGTTCTAATAAATATCAACATTTGTTCCTATTCGATATAGGTATGAATCAAATATATTTTTAAAACTTTTTATGATTATTTCAATTGAACCCCAAATATAAAAACTTAATTAGAAGTTAAACTATGAAGATAATATTAAAATGTTATTAAATAAGAATTGTAAAAACTTTTGAATATAAAATAATATATTTATAATACAATCGACATAAATTATTCATATTATCTAAATTTATATAAAATAATGAGTGACATTAAATTTTAATTTGATATACTTATAAAAATAAAATGTTATATACACAAAATTTGTAAAAATAAATTTTTAACAATAAAATTAATTCAATTAAAAATAAAAGATAAAAAATTACAATATGAATTTATATCAAACAAATTTCAGAAAATAGCTTCTGTAAATATTACCAAATAGCAAAAAATGAATTACATAACATCATCTAAACGTTAGAAAATACTTTTCAAAATTTATTTTTCAGGAAATGAAATTTATTTTCCATAATTCATTTTCTAGAAAACCAATTACAGTGAAACAAACAGACCCCTTGTGTAAAACTTTTAGTTTTATACCCTTTTATGTTGGATGAGGAGAAATCAAATGTTGAGATTAATTCCTTATTTTTTTTAGTGAATATATTCTCTGCCTTTTGTGGCACGTATTTTGTGTTTTTCACAATTTTTTTCTGGCTTTGTTAGTTTTTATTTTGTCTTTTTTTGCTACTTTTAGTGAAGTGTGATAGAGGATGTAGAGAGTGAACTAGAGGGGTTCAATCTGGGTAAGGAGGAGGATGAAGTACTTGTTTTGGAGCAAACATAAATTGCTCCATAAATATCTTTTGATAATTTTTTGGTCAAACCTTTCCTTACCACTAATATAATTAATCTTCAGGCCATGAGGACCACTTTAGCGAACGTTTGGCATCCAATTAGTGGTATTTCCATTACAAAATTAGGAGAGGGTTTCTATTTGTTTTAGTTATATCATGAGGTGGATGTGGATATGATCGATTTGGAGGGCCCTTGGTATTTTAATTCCTATATTTTGATTTTGCATCGATTGAAACAATGGGATAATCCTACGGGTGAAATTGAATACAAGTGATTTTTGGATGTTTATGAATGACTTACCAGTGAGTTATATGCTGGGGTCGGTTACGAATATAGGCTCTTATAAATATTATGATGCACTACGGTTACTTTAGATTACAGGGGGAGCATCTAGATTTGGGTAAGGGTGGATGTCCATAAACCTCTGAAGCATAAAAAACAACTTGCTTTACCAAGTGATGATTTCGTCTATGCTACATTTCAGTATGAAAAACTTCATTTATTTTGTTTTTTATGTGGTGAATTGGGACAATGCAATAATTTTGTCCACTTAAAATTTTACAAGTGAAGAGGGATCTTGAGGCACAACGGGATGTTTCTTTACATTCTTCTTCTAGAAGAAAAGGGGTCATGATGAGTCTATGACTGCGTGATGAGGGTAAAGTGTTGGATCTTTTTCATCGGGTGTTGGTAGCATTATTTCTAAAGATATGATGTTTTGGATTTGAAGCGTCAAATTAAGACTTGGTTGAGAAAAGTTTTGCTATAGATTGATGGTAGTGTAGGGGTTCGAATGTGGTGATGACGACACTACTAGAAAAACCCCTTTAATGACGCGTATTGCGCGTCATCTATGGGTACAGATGATACACAAATTCGCGTCATTGAAGCCACCGACATAAATATCAGATGACGCGCAATTGTGTGTCATAAATCTATGACGCGCATTTATGACATGCATTTATGACTCACATTTATGAGGCGCGCGTCATTGAAGTCCCCGTCATAAATGAAGATGACACACAGTTGTGTGTCATAAATTTATGACACGCATGTATGACTTACATTGCGTATCATTGAAGCCCCCGTCATAAATGAAGATGGCACACATTCGTGTGTCGTGATTGTATTTCGTAAATATTATATATATATATATATATATATATTGTAGATTGACAAATAATCAAATTAAATCACATTTAATGCCTCATAATACTAAATATATATATCATATTATATATAAGCAATCCATTTGCATACAATATATTCACATTAAGTTATCAAAAATATTGTAATTATATGTTGATACAAAGAACAGATAAAACAAATTATAGGAAAAAAACATGATTCAACCATTAATCACATAGTAACTTCATAATCCTACTACAGTAAACTTGAACATCTAAAAACTAACAAAAGTAAAATATATTCATTCAAAAGCTGAAGGAATATAATGAATTGTTACAGGACCTTTTACAGCAAAAGGTACATTAATCTCATCTACATCCCTCTCTTTGTTCTCTTCTTCTGTCTTTTCAGAATCAGAACGTAAACCTCCAGCTTTCTCCAATCGTTCTTCTAGGGAATCTTCAAGCAACTATGAGAAGTATAAGAAGCTCAAAGTTAAAAAATATTAGAAATATGTGAACAAGTATGCAAATGAGTATTTAAGTGGAGTACAAATAGGATTCAATATAGAGCTGATGGTAGCAGGAACCTTTTTACTTTCACTAATGGAAGGAGAATTATATCTGTTAAATCCATATATAATTATAAGACCAGTTCAACAACTCACTCCCCAATGTATTTCTTTCTGGTTTATCTGATTAGCTGCATCCTTGCAGCTTCCAATAAGTGTTACAACCTCTGCATTATCAGAAATAGAATTGGGCTGTCCAGAAGAAACTGCAAGGAACAAAAGAAAACAATAGTCAAACAACACCTTTTTTGCATACGTAACATGCAACATATGAACAATAGTCAAACAAGGGTTCTTAATATTTACTTGATTTTATTTTTCATGGGGTTTTATTTTAATCATAATAATAAGATTATTGCAAGTATGAAAATAAATAAAGTAGTTTGAAATAAGCATATATATATATACTAACTTGGTGTTATATCAATAAGTAGAAAATAAATAAAGTAGGAATGTTCACAGGAACTTACCATTTTATCAACAACAATCTAGACATTCGGGTCATAACCTCCTTTTTTCATTTATCTTACCTTTTTCCACAACAATGCTCTATCAATCTCGTCTTCCTCCTTTCCCGTTTCTTGCATCTAAATTAAAAAGAATAACAAAAATGAATTAACATAAACAGATGCATATCTAAACTATTCAATTAATTTACTACATACAATCTCAAGAGTTAGTCCAACATATCCTTTTCTACTCAACCGATGATTGTATCTATGATGTCCACGTATTTTTTTTTAGCTTTTTTACTTGTTTCCCGCATTAGAAACATTAAAACATTCAAGACTGGTTTCTAAAACTAATATATATAACAAATACAGTCATGAAAAGTTTAACTAACCTCCCACTTCTTTGAAAGTCTTTGTGATACAAAAACCTTCCAGTCATCTTTCTTCAAATAAGGATACATATCTGGAGGGTTGAGCAGATTTGCATTAGGGTCATTCTTTAACTTCTCAATGAATTTCTTATACAAATGATGCTTAAAGTTATTCCACTTTGTCCCAATAGATTGAAGGGTGTTCTTCCGACTCCTTGGATCAAGTTCAAAGTTCATCTG